AATTTAACTTGTAGACTCCAGTGCATTCTTTTTGAGCAATTGTTTGAGTCACTCTCCAGGATAACACCAAAGAAAGGAGTGCATTGCTGGAAGTAATTGAATATGTTTATCTTTTTGGCACCTGTTTATTTTTCTAATAATTTACTTTGAAAAAGAGTAAGTAACTTTCTGAGAATATTTTCCTCTATGAGCTCCCTTGTGTATGTCAGGATAATTCTTGCATTATGCATTTGTATAAATTTGTAGATTGACCTGATTAAATGTTTTTCTTTCATGACGTGTTCTTTTTAACTAAAATAACTTTTGTAGGAAGTGTCTATATTAAGCAAAAGCCTTTCTACAAATTAATAATATTTTTGAAACAGAACTGCTACAAAATTTTTTCTAAATACACATATTTTTGCTCAAAAATGGTGGGTTTAAAGGACCTGAGTGGGAAAGTCAAAATAGTTAAAAAAACCAAACAAACTTTTCCAACTTGCCCATAAGGTCTGATTGTTATACCAGGACTTGCATATGTGCTTGTATGTTCACTTTATGAAGACTATATGTTTAAGTAGAATGGTTTCTTCTGTGCTTCATGTCAGCCAGTAAGAGAGGATACTCATTACTGAATTGGCTGAACAGTGAGGCTGAACAAACACATCTTTCCCATAAGTCAGGAAGAACACGGTTGGATGGAGAAACTCAAACAGATCATAAATGTACATCATTAGATGGTAATGAGAAGGGAAGGGTATTTTTTGAGAATTTACTCCCATGGTCGGAAAGAGAGAGATACGATGTGTTTCAGATACTAAATATATAAACTGATATAAACTATAAAAGCTGGGTTTATACACAGTGTAAATCAAAACTCTTCATGTTCAATTGAGTCATAGAGATCCTTGAAATAATTCTGGTAGTATCTGGGGGGCAACTCTTTTGAAGTGCTACAGTCTTTGAATGTTACTGCCTCATTTGTTGCTCAGTTTCTGCAGTCTGTATAACAGGATAGATCTCAAGCTTCACAAAATCAAGAATTAGAGTACTAGAAGATGAGAAACAGATCATGCACTTTCAACCTTCTGTTGTAAGGTCTTCTTTCCAAAAATACAAGCCAGTGTCTAACATTGCAGTGCTCAGGGCCAAAAGCTGCAACACTGAAAAATTTAGAAAATACTGTCCAGTAATATAAATAATGGAATAATAGAACATAATAAATTCTAGAGGTCTTACGGCACCTAACTCTGAACAAATTATGACTAAAACATCAGCCTATCCACTTTCCAATAGAATTATCAACACAAAGCACTAGTAATCCATCTTTTTATCCCATTAAGTTCCTGTATTGGTATTTTGCATACCAGTTGTCTTCAGTCCTATTCATCAGTGTGCAAAGAAATCCTTCTAAGACAGCAAGTTAGCATATTTTTTTCTTTCTATCTCTTTCCCTCACTTGTGCATATAAAACTGGGATAAGGAGGATTGGAAGAGGAGGGCTAAGTTCTACATTTAAGGGTCTTCATCAGAAAACAGTTTTCAGATCTCAAGGATGAATACCTGTATAATATCAGCTGAGTAAACCACCAAAGCTCAGTCAATCTTATGCATGATAAGACACAAATAAGTGGATCCTACAATGTAACATTTGAGCTACCGTTAAAAAAACAGCAGAAAACAGTGCGTGATGCATCAGGGCAACATGCTAAGAGCAACCTCCCACCATCCCTCAAAAGGTCAGTGCCTACACGTTGATACAGATGACACTTCTCTGATTTCCTTATGGACAGTACCAGCCAGCGTGTATTCAAAGTATAACCTTGACAAGACAAAGGTATGGATTTAAAGGACCTACAAGAGATGGAAAAAATCTTGGTCCCTGCCTAAAAAGTTCTACCAGTATGATATCATTTACTGTAGGTACCACTTTTCTGAGGTGTGATGTATTGTTTTGAAGTTAACTATACATTTTCATTGCTTTTGTGATAAATCTAGCACTTCTTAGTGAAACTCAGTGGTTGCTAAGACTTCTTGTTGTTACTTTCTTTATTCTTATGACAGACAATTTATCAGGTTAATCTGGACATACAAGGTCACGTTACATCTTACCAAAAGCCCTAAGGACCACCAGTGAGCCACACACTCTAGATCGTGAAAGTCATGTGACAGGCACCCTGGGTACATAATTTGACAGGATTTACATTGGTGGCTGTAAACTATTAGCACCAGAAGGCAAAAATTCAGAACCACAGTGTGATAATTTTCATGACTAATAAAATCAATAGTGGTATCCAAGTGTGTATAGTTCAGAGAAGGGGAGGATTCACCATCTTGTCAATATTTTGAATTTCAGTTTCAAATCATGCAAGGCACAGCCTTGTGCAAAATATCAGCTGCTAGACCATGGCATAGCTAAAGAGTTCAGCATTTGAATGAAGAAATGAAAAATTTAAGAATTATTAAGAAATACATTTTAAATGTTTTAAAATATTATTTTAAGGTCAGATGTACAATTAAAAGGTGACTTTTGTACAGCATTTTAGCCAATCAAAACATTCTACAGGCACTATCTGGTTTTCACAAAATCATGGTGAAATAAGGAGGAAATTACTAACACACTTTTCCTCTTATTAGAACTGATGTCATTACCACTGATGATTTTTGCAAGTAGTAGTAGTCAAGATAACCATCTACTCTTGATGATTTCGATTTTATAACAACCATGGACAGTTTCTCTATACAGTATTAAAAATGGTAAAGTTTTTCTTCAAGGTAAAATTTATTTCAAAGGAAAAAGAACGTTCCATAACATTGCCACAAAAAATGTAACAACTTCCTGTTTCTCCAGCAGTTCATTACCTTAATTTATAGAACACTTTTGATTCCTAATATAGCTCATTTTTTCATTTTTTCTTAAATTTATTGAGCAACTAGATCTGAAAATTTAAAGGTCATATTTCAAAAGTTAATGTTAAAGACATTGCAGAGGAGGAGAAAAGACAAGGTAAGTTAACAAGAATCAGAAAATTCCACTATGAAACCAAACACTGACATTTAAGGAACAAATCTTTGCTTCTCAAGCCTACTACGAGTTCTGTTAGGAGGTTTGGTTTTACCCTTCTTGTTTTTAAAACAGATTAGGTGGTAATGTTCTGGTTATTGAAAATGAGAGGAGCAAAACTGCTGTATGTTGCAGGAATATGATTTTTGAGAATTTTTCCTTTTCACAGTGAAAAAATTAGGGGATGATAAGGTTACTCAGACAGATCTTCCCTTGCCAGTAATAAGCATTTAGCCTAAATGAGTATTTCAGGATTCACTCCATGTTTCTGCTCTATCATTTATTGCCTACAGACACCAATGCAGGTGAAGACACAAAGCAAACAAAAGGGTAAGTGGCTGATGGACACTTCTAGTTTTGTTTGAAATAGATGTCACAGAACTCTCACACGTCTTAAAAGCATGACTCATCTTGTACTTTTTTGTTTCTATTTTACTATGGAAAACAACATTCCTGCTCTGAGAAAGTTTGCTTTTGTTGCACTTAGTGTACCATTAAATTAGCTCAGATCTTCCTCCATGTGAGAGTAAAGTTGGTCACATGCATAAATGCTGCCCACAGGAGCAGAAGGGAAGTTGGATGAAGCCTTGTCTGACAATTTACATCATTGGCCAACAGTGGAGGAGAAGAACAGTGACACCACCTCAGTCATGGTTCACTGATCACTTGCCTTTGCCTCTCCTGATTCCTTCTTTTTTTTTTTTTTTTGGAGCAAGAGTAGATGCAGAAAAATCTGCAAGATCTCCAAGAGGGAAGGAGCACTTTGAGAAATTTCTTCAGCTCATTAAAGTTAGGTGTTGACAGGCTGAAGGTCTTCCCATCCAGACATTGGCAGAAGAAAGGCTAAAACAGAGGCCAGAAAGGAAGTAGAAAGTGACTGGCTCAGGAGACACAAACTTTCCCCTCTGGGTCAAAGCATTGAACGTAGCCTGGAATGGGGACAATGATTGAAAAAATCTCTCTTATCACTGTTGCTGTTCAGGATGCTTTGTGAAATTTTCTGATACTAGTCCAGCTGCGCAGATCATAAACCCCTTGTTATCCGTCCCAGTTGTTTACACTTTAACATAGATCAGAATCAGATCCGAAACAAGTCATATATCTTGAATTGGACTGATATTCTCTATTCAGTAATTCTTGTTTCCCTCTTGCAGAAGTGGTGAAGCTAGAGTAACCAGATCTTTAATATCAAGCCAAATATGGACAAGAAGGAGCTCTATACACAAACACTTCTAGAAATAGAAGTATATTCATTTTCAAATAGAAATGTCACTGAGCAGGGCACACAGACATTGCATCTGTATAAGAATATGGAAATTTCCCACCTTCGTATTTAAATAGGAATATAGAAAGAAAATCTCACTTACCACATAGCACTACTAGCAACAACAACAACAAAAAAAAAAAGAAAAAAAAAACAAGAAAAAAAGAATTATCTTCTCAGTCTCCTTGTTTTGCTGGAATGGAGGTGGGGAGAAATCCAGCTCAGTTCATCAACATGTTTAAATAGTGCCTTTGAGAAAGGATTCAGAAGCAAATATGTACCGTTGTGCTGGGCAGCTGCTCTTGTGGATTTCCAGTTAAACAAACATCTATTGCAAGGTATGTCTCGTAATGAGGTTGTTTTCTCTAGACTATTTCTAGGGTCATGGTCATCATCTGGGAACTGTGGTTTTCAGATTTACGAAATTGCTAATCGATATTTGTGCAAAAATTACACAATAATATAATAAACAATAGTGGTATATGAATGTGCAGCACATTTATGTAAAAGTAAAGTTAATTTCCCATAAGTGTTGATTTCCTGATTTCAATTCAAACTGTAGTTAACAGAGTCAAGCAGAGTAAGTGACAAACCTTATAACATGTTAAATAATTTTTACCATTTGAGAAAAAAAGACATGGAAACTAATTGTGACAAGATATAAGTATATACACAGCTCTGTTTTAACAATACCTGTATATGAAATTTCTGATTACTTTCAGCAGGCAAGAGTGAAGTAAAAAAGCATGAGTCTTTGCAGGAATGGTGACTGCTCATTGCAGCATGCTCACAGGCTTCTCTGTCGTATTCATTCAGTCTGCTGAGACAGGAAAAAGCTTTTATTAATAGGATATGTTTAAAGGAAATACTGATTGACTACTAGAAGTCAAGAATCACTTTTTCTTTAATACTAAAAAAAAAAAAAGCTGATATAGTAACAGATATTCTCATTAAATATCATTTTAACCAGTATGGTAAATACATTTGTCGTCAGTTTCAGAAGGACAAAACTCTCCAATTTGGACTCCTTTGTGAGTGCTTTTACGACTATATGGAGTTACAACAGGATCTCAGCTACTGCCAAGCCTCTGTGCTTGCTCCTGAGTTAGGTGCTCAAATTGCAGTGAAGTGCCTGGCTTCATTTTTCTCTGATTTTTAGCAGCTGTGTTTGAATTGCAAGCTTGATTGACAATTATCTCACCTTGACAGAAGCTTGATTACTTGGGCTATGAAAAGATTCTTTACACTATTTTGTGATAAACTGTTATTTTTTTATCCCGCTTTTTGATGTTAACTATTACTTGTTCCTGAACAGCCATAGCTACAATTTTTAAAATTAAGCCAAAAACCTTAGGTGGTTGTGGCTGGCATGACACTCCAGTCTCTTGGAATGTTACCTCTTGAATTTGCCTATGTGAATGAAGTTTTAGCACAGATAAAATTTAAAATCAATTTTTCTCCAAGAGTTCTACCGAGCAAAGATTGTGATAAGCTGTTAATTTAGGATTAAAGAGAGAATGAAAAGCCAGCAATAAAGGTCCTTTGATAGCAGTGGGGGATGAGTAATGGAAAATGTTCTTGCTGCAGACTAATCAGAGTGTAATTGCTAAAGGAACCAATCTTTCATTAATTGGAAAGGCAGTAAACTCAATCAGTCACAGTGCCAAAATATTGCAGTTCAGTTGAAGAATTTTATTGAACTAATTGGTTTAATCGTTTTAAGTAATGCTGTTATAAGAGTCATTATTAAGAAACATTATTCTCTGTATCATTTTCTGAAACACAAAAACTTTTTATGAGGCAAGTGATTTTCGTTTCCAAAAAAGATGAGACAACAGTTTTGATTTAAGAGAGCAACTTGACTTGGCTATGTTTCATTAGAAATTATCAGTACTTGATTTTGGATGTCATCGGGGATAATGTGAAACACTTTGTAAGTGAAGGGTACTTTAGCTACATTTAGTCTAGCTTAAACATTTCTGATGGCATTTTCTGAGAGTCAAAAAAAAAATGTTTCATTTTATCTGCCTAATCCGGGTATAACAGACCAGGGAAGTCTGCCTCCCATTTTTTCACATCCCCCCTCCACTCCTCTTCAGCCCTGAGGGAACGTTGTACAATTGCTGTGGATTACTCGCTAGCTCCACAAACAGTTTAAACTGGAACAAGCAGTCCTGGCTTACCTTCCAGTCCTCTGCCTGCTTATTGCCACTTGCATATCTCTCTCTCTCTCTTCTGCCAGATGTTCCTGCAGCCACATGGTGAGTGGGGACAGGGCAATGCTCTGGGTTAAAAGTAGCTGCTTTTTCCCCCCCGTGGAGGAACATAGGCTGCTGCTTTTTGGCTCAGCTGCTCCCAAACATTCACATCAACAAAAGAGAACACTGCAACATTTTTTTTTTTCCAATTTTTTTTTCCCCCCCCCCCCCCCCGTATGTATTTATGACTATTTGCAGTCACTGGGAAAGCAAGGAGAGTGAAAACAGTGATTGGGTCAGTCGGAAGCTGGCACTGCCTCTTTTAACATCAGCATTTGCTTATGTTGACTTAAGGGAGTTGCGGGACTATAGCGTTAGCATCGCTCCTCCGGGGTTCAAACCCAGCTGGCCTCTGTGGAGCAAGAAGCAGGAGCCCAGATACGTCGGTCACTGGTTCTCTTCCTTTCCCAACAGTGTTTGGAGTGATTGAAAAACCTGTCTCATTGGCACCAGTTCTGATGCAATACCTCTTAAATTGAGAAGTGGAGGGCGAGTGCTGTATGTAACCCTATATGAACTGCAAGTGTAGTGTCCTGGCCATGTCTGTGTAACCTTCCTGGGTCTGTGACAGTGACAATAAATATTGACATCGCTGCAATGCCAAGCAAACTGTTTGGTAGCTTTTCATGCCACAATGAACCTTTAGTGTGTTTCTAGCAACTTGCCATTGCTTATCGAATCAGTCAATTCTGACGGTGAAAGATTTGTAGGGGAAGGTAATGTAATTCACTAGATCCAATGGCCGAATTCATGAAGGAACATTCACATTTCCAGATGCCAAGTCCAAAAGGTAGAGCTTGTTTGTCTTTCAGATATGGTCCACAATCAAGGAGATATCAACGGTGACTGAGTTTTCCTGTAAGGTTACTTTCTTTGATTGCTATTTGTGTTCAGAATGTTGCTTGGCAGACTTCTTGCCATCAAGCTGTGGAGTCAGCGTGGCTCAGGGGTCCAAAAGGCTGTTAAGTGCCTGGAAAGCTTCTCAGCCAAGGTTCTGCACAAATTCATTGCAGCTGCAACACGAAAATAGGGTTGTCATTACTGTTGCTTTATCACTGGTATTTTTAACTATTACATATGTCTCCTGCGGCTTCTCCTCTTGATCAAATGCCGTTATATTAACAACCATAAAGGTAGTACATGACCGTTTCTAACTCACATGTTTTTAGGAAAGAATAGAGCTTAAAACTCAGGAAATCTCACAAATTAGGACTGGAATTCATGAAAGTATCTTCCCCACGGAGTGCCTCTCAAGTTTGAGTGCAGTATTGAGAGGTGGAGGACAATCTGCTGGGTCAGATACTGGCTGCCATCACATGACACTGTTGAACTTGATGGATCAATGTTTTGATCAGAGAGGACAAAACCTTGCAGAATTCACAGTCTGGTCAGAGCAAAAGTATGTTTTGCACAAGGTAGCAGGAGGGATATAAAAACATGACAGTGTAATAAACATGTTTCAGCTAGTATAATAAACAGAATTTGGAGCCTTCGAAGAAGAGCCAGATTTCTCTTTTTTAAAAGAGGAAAAATGCACAGCCAGGCATTGTCTCATATGAAAAATGATAATAATGAGCAATAACAATAACATGAATCATCTGGTGATTTTCAATTTTTTTTTTAGAAACTAATAAAGCATTACAAAAAGTCACTACCATGGGGTAAGGAACACTATCAAGACAAGTATGTGGAACTGACATAGACAACACTTTTCTAGATATGAAGTTTCAACAGAAGAAAAAGTAAAAAATAGAATGTTTCACATAGAGTATCTTTTGATCTTTTTAACCCTTTTTCATCCTGTCTTTTTTATGTGGTTTTATTTGTGGCCAATTTTCTCTGAGGGCCTACATGCTTCTTTGCTGCTTAGCCCTGAATGTACTTATCCCTGTGATGTTCAAGTGAAATAGGCATGGCACTGTATCCCCAGTGTTGCAGACGAAGGGCTGGGGAGCAGAGAGTGGATTAGATCCATTAAGTACATCAGAACCTCTTACTCTGAGCTGTTATGAGTTTGTCTACAAGGTGTATTTTGGGCAGACATGCACTGACACTTCCCATGCCCAAGTTTTGTCTCTTACTGGTAGGCAGGTGTGTGGCATATTTTGAAAAGATTATGCAGACTAAAAAGTGAGGAAGCTTTGACTTTGTAGAGCCTGAGTTGCCCAGGTCCTGAGCTGTTCAGCCCTGCCCAGGTTGTGGCTGTGCCAGAGAGGGCTCTGTGCACCTTGGGGACCTCCCCAGGGAAATTGACAGTGCCTAATGTATTGGTGTGAGCTCTGACTGCCACCCTGGTGCCTAAGCCCTCCACAAATATTGCCTGAGAGATGTGTTCAAGATGGTAGGAAAACTCTGCAGCAGAACCAAGAATGCAGTTTTATGCCCTGGAGTAACTGCGAGGCATCTGGGGAGATCAGAACTAGGTGTACAGTAACCCCCTCTCACAGCCAGAAAAGGGTAATGGGCTCACACTCTACTGGACCAAGACTGCATTGGTTTCACCTCTTTTTCATGCATTTTAGTAAATGGGAAATCCTTGTAAGCTGTCAACGCCCATAGGTGTCCAAAGGCATTCTTCTCCCCTTGTGTAAATATATTTTTAAGGGTAGTACCTCATCCTGATTCCTTCTAAAGAGCTGACTCTGCTCTCGGGGTCTAAGTAATGTTGTTAAGTGCTGCAAAGTATTATACACTGCTCAGACAGCACAAATAACAGTATTGCTAATGAAAGGGAACAGTGCTAATGAAAGGGAAATCTGATTGTTTTCACAGGCTGATTTTAATCTCATCTAGTTTATATGAACAGGTTGTTATTTTTATAAATAGAGATGTACTCATGGGACCCTAAAGATTACTGGTGAAGCTAAGTTATCATGGCTTTTTTCACATGTTTTATAAAAACTTGTTGACTCCTAATGTAACAATGACCAAAACACAAATGGCCAAATCATGGTTAACATAAACACAGTCAAGGACACACTAGACAAATGCCTGTTAGGAAGAGCTTGCCCACTTTATCCAGCTAGGTCAGTGGTCCAATAAAAGCGTTGCCCTATTCCCTACCCATCTCTTCTCTTTAGCTCACCATGGGAGCTACAACTATGTTGGTGATCTCAGTCAGGAAAGACTCAGGTCTTGCTATACCCTACTGTGGGTCAGCTGTGTTCAGTGCCTTTCTGCCTCCAAGGAGAGCCTGGCTCTCTCTTCTCTGTATCCCCATTAGGTTGTTGCAGACAAATAATATCTCTCCTTAGCTTTCTTTTCTGCAGGCTGACCGAGCCTAGCTCCCCCAACCTCTCTTTTATGCCTTGCACTCCACCACCATCTTGCTGTACTCATTTGAGATGGCAGGGTGGAGAGGGCTGGATGGCAAAATTAAAAAGTGCCTGATGGAGGGGAATAATCTCTTCCCTGCCCTTGACCTGCTGCCTGCACTCAAGCTAATACAATCCAGATGGTTTCCTGAGAACTCTTTCAGTCCTTCACCCTGTGACCCTGAGGTGAGTAGTGGTGGCCAGCTCTTCTATCCCAGCACATCATGCTAGCCCATATAGAGGCACTCAAGAAGTGTACACTACTAACAAATATAGGCTTCTCTGACTAGACTAGACTAGACATGAACAAAAATGTACGTGTGCATTCCCTGTCAAATGATGAATGGTGAGCTCTCCCCAGCCTGTGTGACTAGAATTGTATTGGGTAGATAACCACGGACACATACGGTGGTGGACACATATCTGGTCATGCGATGGGACAGGCACTGGGCCCCAGGTAAGAGCGAGCCACAAGCAGGCTAGTCTAGCAAGCAATCCTGCTGAAAACTTTTCTTTTCTTGCATCTGAAGGGTGTCCATGAGAGGTAACAACAGAAATAGGGACCAGCTGGATGAAATGTTCTGGCAGTTTGGAACTGAGCTGGGCTGCTTCTGATAAACTGCTCAGGGTGCAGGGGCCATTGCAGCTGCTGCAAAAATTTGCCTCCTTAAATGAAGATGAAGATCAAAATATCAAACTAGGCTTAACTCCTTTTCACCCAGCAGACCTGGACCTGAAAGTTTTCTAGATCTTGAAAGAAGCAGAGGTCCAAAGACATGCCTAATGTACAACTCTGGATGCTCCCAGGGCCCCTGAGTCTCAGCATCTCTTACTGCCCAAGTCACAGGCATCAAACCAGTGGTACATTTGAGAGCCTGAAATCACTCACTCATGTTTGGGCAGGACATGGAAGCAGCTATGACAAAACACAGGCACTCTTTTCATCTCCATAAAGGGCAGTTCTCTACACGTGGCAAATGGCACAGTGTAAAGAGATTGGATCAATTGCGATATATAGCTCTAAACAATCAGGGATTTTAAGACTTCTTATATATATCAGTATAGAAAGGAGGTAGGCTGAAGTGATCCAGCACCTCAATATTCCTCAGTGAGCTATTATACTTAAAAACTTACAAAACTATGGTATTATATTAAAACTTATGAAACCATGGTATTATATTGCATGTTATCCAGCTGTGGCTATTCTCTAGCTAGTAAATTCATCATTCCTCTGTCCTGCGGCTTTGTTTGCTCACTCTTGTTCCATGTAGAGCATGGACAATATGTTCTTTCTAGCACACATGGGCACTTTCAGAGCAAACAATAGACACAGGCTTGCAGTGAAAATCTCCAGGTAGCCCTTGTCTTTTCTCAGGCAAGGCTTGAAGCCAGGAATAATTGTGCTGACAGTGCAAGATGTTCCCGAGTGTGATCTGAAAATAACGGAGGGGGGATTGGCACCACTGAAGTAATCGTTTTTATGTGAGGGTGTGGAACAACAGAGGCCTGGGGTAAAAACCTAGAGAGGTTGTTTTTGTCCTTTCCTTACATCATTCAAATAGAAAGAAGCAAAACAAATTTTGCAAGTCCTTCTTCTAAATAGTATACATAACATGAATACCCTTATCGAAGCCCAGACTCATACCATCAACCTTTAAGCACTTAACTGAAGTGTATTAAAG